CCAATCAACAAGATTCGGCGCTTGCTCGAGCGCGAGAACGCGTCGGCGCCGCGGCAATGGCCGGATCACCCTGACATCGTCAAAAGCTTTCGTCGCTATTGTTCTCGTACTGATAAGATGTATATTAAGAGCAGCGTCATTCTTCCGGTAGGGCGTACATCGACAGCCACTCATCGTCGCTCGTTGAGGGACGACTTCCCAGGATCCAGCAGTCTCAGATGGTTTCGACGGCTACCTCTGCAAACATGATGGGATATTACGACCGTGCTGTGGGCCGTGTGCATGCTGCCCTATGCGTCTTACAGCGAGTCCCGGAGTCTGTCCAAGTAGTGTATGCCAAAGCGTTCGTCGTCGAGGTCGTGAGTGCACAATGTTCTGCTGCGATTGGTTGTCCTGATTGATAGCGTAGTGGGCTGCCCGCAGCGTACGCCGCAAGCATAGCCTGCCACACTCACGGTTCATGTTATCGCTGACGCGCATGCTTGCTCGGTGTGCCAATGATCGGGATCTGGACATCGAGCGTTTTGCGGATGAGATTCGGGTCTTTGGAGAACGCCCAAGCAAGGAGTATCATCAGGACTTGGGAGATGATCAATGGTGGTCTGAGCTACGTAAGTCCGGTAACTTCATTATCATTCATGAGAAGGGTGTTGAATTGCTCTCACAGACGTCAAATATGTCGCAAGGCCTGTTCATGGAATGGATATCGCTGGTAGTGGAAATGGCGCGACGCGGTTTCTCACCAGCTGACCTTCGTCAACAATAATCTAACGATACTGTAACGTCTACACCTATGACGGCCTACGCGGTCTTTCGGACGAACGCGCGCGGGCACGCCACGTGGGAAGGACCTGGATGAGGGTCGATAGTTTCGCCGGGCTTGCGTGTGGCGTCGTCGTTGTCGTCGTTCATGTTGTCTCTTCAGGCTGTCGCTACGTCTTTAGTACACCGCAATACTCGTCCCGCGTTTGGCACGGGATGAAGTACCCACCTAGTAAGTGTAAGGCGCTACATAGCCCTATAGATACTCTGGTTAGTACCATGTAGGATGCGCAGCAAGTCCAGTGTTCCCTGAATGTTAATGAGACCGTATGACCTGAGGATTGATCTCGTGGATCCGGCTTCCTCGGGTATCCTGACGCTGTCGAGCTCCCCGCTGTCGTCCTCCTTCAGAACTCACGCTTCTTTGAGCGAGGCGGAGTGCATTGAAGGCCGCCGTCGGTCACAGTGTGCGGCAGAAGCTCTCACGGCGAGCTGAGCTCGTCGTCGGCCGCGATATGTAGCAGGTCCCTGTTGACTGCTCTATGGCTTCACTGACTAGCGTATCTGGCCGAGCGCGCGTGGCGTAGATGGCGACTACCGAGACTCAAGGCGCATTACACTGTCTTCCGGAAATACGCTCTGACGCATGACCTCTTGTCATATTTCTATGTCTTATTCAGTCGATTATGCCCAGATGTATTCAACTCTGCAGTAGACCAATGGCATCTGCATGAGTCGCTATTGGTCAATATGGGGTTGTGCCATCTTAACCGAATCTAAGGCTGCGCGCATGAGTGAATGCGTGTCTTATGGTAGCTAGTCATCAATGTTGCAACGGGTGCTTGCTCAATACCCTAGCCTCAAGATAGCGCAGAAAGCCCCGGTCATCATCTCCCTGTCTCATGATATCCCTGCGTATGCGGGTGCGCTCGGTCTTACTGGGTATGGCCAGGAACTTGACGTATTCGCGGTGAACTTTCTCCCTGACTATCATGAGTACGACATAGCACTCGGAACTCTTATTGAGCATACGCACAAGTGATCCAGAAGCTCTTGACGATAGAACGATTTCGGCGCTCGAGTGCACCCGTGAGGTACAAATGGACATGTTAGTGTTCTGTTTGGGTCATCTGCTGCCTGATAACCGCGACGTCGTTTTTCTCGTTCGTGACGGAGGTCTGTGGGGTGACTAATATCGGCGGCAGGTCGCTTCAATCGCGAAAGCGTGGCTTCAGCTCGGATAGGTGCACCCGTCAACGGTGCTGAATATTCAAGGCCTGCTATAGGGACATCAGTTGGTCCCACGGTCAGCGTCGGGATATCTCCTACTCACCGGTCGAGGCAGCCAGGGATAGTCCCTCAAGAGAAGTATCATTCATCGTAAACTCTGCCACAGTTTGCTCAAGTTTGTCCCACGGATTTACAGACTCTTCGTTATCGGGTTGAGTAATAGTGTCAGGTCATTCCCGAAGGCGAGGGCGAGTACATACGTGCATCGACCTTGACTGGAACTTGTAAGTATGCCGGAGCTGCAGAGTACTGGCACGTCCAAGGAGAAGAGAATGGATCGGACCGGGCAGAGAGATATTCTTCGGTTTGCGAGCGAACATATGTCCACCAGCAGATGGACGCCAGCTGTAGTACATCTTCGGCATCTGTATCATCAATATCCAAACGATGTTTCCGTAGCTCCTCCCCGATCGTTTCCGAGTGTACAACGTTGACAGGCGTAACGAAATCAACAGCAATCTTGACGCAAGATGACTGGTTGGTGACCTGTCTGCTGATCAGCCGTCGCTTCTCGGTTCGGATAGTGGCACTCCTGACCTGATGTCCGACGCCCGCTGGGATGAACACGGCCTGGCCCTGTTTCTGTACGTGAGTCCATACTCTCAGTCCTGCCGCTCGGAGACGTTCCACGTCGTCCGGGGTGACAAAGATCTCCTGCGAGTGAACAGGATGACCCTCAAACTTGCCTTTCTTCCATTGGCATAGTAGACGCTCAGCTTCGGCCATGTCATCCCGACAGATCATGGTCCACAAGGCACCTCCTTCCACGCCATCGATTCTGTCCTGCTCGAAAAATAATATGTTGACCGCATCCGTCATGTCGCAGTGTAGACGCGTAGTGGTTCCCTTTGTCGCCGCATGAGCAAGGTACGCTTTCGGTCCTACAGACATATGAGCACTTAGGGTATTCACGACGTGGGGAACATACCGGTATCTGGCGGACAGGAACCGATTGGCATGTTTGTCTCGAGATTCAGAGCGCCAAACTTTGTTGTCAGTATTGGACCAACTAGAGCTTCCTGGAAGATCCTGAACATTTCGGGGAAGGCGGTGGGCAGGTCTTTCGTTGGTGGCCAATCCTAGAAGTGTTTGGTTCGTACCTCCAAAGGACCGTGAACTAGCGCACCTTGAGTTTTTCCGGTTGGACATCAGTGTCAGAAGTGCCAAAATCGCGCATGAAGTCTTCCAGCGCAACAGTTCTCACAGCACCGGTGACAGTATTGACGACGGTGACAATTTCTTTTCCGTGTCTTTTGATGAAGTAGCCGGGCGTGAGGTTGCTGTCCCCGGGATTGATGCCGGACACCACTATCGGGACGCCGGAAGCGAGGGATTGATACAGAGTGCCATACGAGGGCAAACCAGCACCATCGGAAAGCTCAACGTGAACAATCTCCGCATCGGTCGGACAAAGCACGGGCTGGCTGAAGCAAAAGTAAGCAAAATATGCGCACTCTGGGTGTTATATCTTACCGTGAGGAGGCGCTTTCCAATTTAAGAAGGGCATTCTCTAGCTCCATGGGCTGGAAAAACTCCAGCAACACAAAATCGTGACCGTCAGCGGGAGAATGACGGGAGGTACAAGTATGGCCAACCTAATGTCACTTCAGCATTGCATGGACTGGGATAATCAAAATACCTACACGGCCTTCTTGCACACAGTGGTCACACACTTCAACGCCACAGAGCCTACACATCCGGACGCAGCAAAGACACGACATACGACAACAATCTTGTGACACCTATCAGCATGCTATACATCAAGCTGACACACTATACACACATACCGCAGACAAGCCGCTCTCCATTCAGCTCTGGTGTTCTGGTGATTGTGGCCGACTTATATTCGACCCTCAAGACAAGATGACGGTTGAGCCAACGGCGCAGGAGAGGTGCGATCTCCCTCTGCAGAAGTAAGCGTTAGCCGAGAAAGAGCAACTTGAGACTTACGCGACATTCTTCTATCATTTCTTGAGTGAGATGTGGTGAAGCGGGGGGGAATACCGGAGGGACATGTGCGCTGTGCTCGTACGGGTTGACTTGGCTCAATTCGCATTGCCGGCCAGTAATGGTCACGACAAAGCTGCGCTGAAGAATGCGGCCGTCCTTGGCCTTCCCTGAAGCTCTCCGTCAGCATCTGTGTCTAGGAGTTCAAGTTATTGGAACGAGCTTACGAAAGAACAGACAAACCGTGTCTTCACCCTCTGACTGTTCTCCATCCGACTCCTCGTCCGTGTCTGTGAGCTGCTGGCAGGATATGCACTCGCGTAGCTGGCTTTTGACGTAGGTCATAGCGCGGCTCTCTCTATCCCTCGCGACCAGAAATATTCTGCACTTGGCATACTGGAGGACTGTGACCTTCTTTTTCTTCATGGTGGGCAGGACGTAGTGGGATTTGCCAAGCTATGACGGGAATTGTGCACCGAAGGACGCGCGTTTGATGACGGATCGTCGCTGGGCCGGGGATCATGCCTTAGACTGTAAATACAATATGCCTCACCTAGAGTCAGGCCGTAATTGCGTAGCACTGCACTGTCACAATGCTCTGTAGTCCTACATGTTCATAACGAAGCCTTTGCTGCAGCAGCACTCGCTCGCGGACGGATGGCGTGTGGCGAATCGGCCCGGAAACCCCCGGAGGGAAGCATGGAAAATCAATATGCCGACGCGCACAAACGGCTTGTGTGGAGCCTCGCCCTTGGCCAACCTTGGCAGGTGCGTGATGTCACGCGTTGCGCGTAGTAGGCGACTGCCTACACCTAATGCCGTATATGCCTGTTCCTCTCGCTCTCAAATGAGTCCGCCTCTGAGGTATAGAGTCCCCTTTCGAGATGTTGTAGAGGTCAGGAGGATATCATGTGTGCGACGAAGGGGCCGAAGCAGGTGGGCCAGCCGACCGTTCGGGCTTGGTTCGGGCAGTCGCGACCGGTGTTCGCTCGCGCAGCCTCTTGCACAGATCGGGAAGACCGAGAGCCTATCGTTTCTTCAAAGCTTCAACAGCTGCGCGCCTTGCATCAACGAAGATTCCTGGCGTCCCCACCGTATCAGAGGAAGGCGTTGAGTGGGTCGCCTCTATAGGGCGACATATCGAGCATGTAGTGTATCCCATGATGACGGCATGGCCATAAACCTCGGTGCTATATCTCGACATGACCAGTAAGTACTGCACCTCAATTTCCCTTCTTCCACTCACAACAGTCCAGCGTTGAATGATTCTTGCTGGCATCATGATTGACGCGTACCCTGCAGGGTTCCGGATTGAGAGAACCCGTGAATAGCTAGTATGCGACGGTGGTGTCCTGCGTGTAGCCAACATCTTGAGTGAACGTGGCTACTACAGATACGTGAGGGGGGAGATCCAAGGCTCGCAGCTGAGATCACGATTCCTTTGACAGTCACACCGGCGACTGTCACCACCATAAACCATCCTCATGCGTGCCACGTTCGGATTAAGGGCCATAGTGTCTCCTGGAAGGGAGAAATTTGACGAAATGTTGACTGCAAAGATCAAAGTCGTGCTCGCGGGAGTAAGCCGAATCGCTTGGGACTTGGCGGGCCTCGACAAGGAGCGAACAGCGGCGGTTATGGATGTTATTGTTGGTGCAGTTCAGCCACAAACTCGGTTCAATACCATCATACGAGCTTCAGTAAAGCTGTGTGAGCGGGGTCATACGTTCGATCGGGACCAATTTGCTTTGCAGATGGCAGGTCTAATGGAATGTAGACGATGGAGGGCTTCGACCGAGGAGTAAAAGCGACTTAATGCACGTAGACGTGCGGTTCGTACAGAAAAAAGGTGATGACAGAGACCACCCTAAATGAGAGTCTCGGGCAATGCGACCAGAGGAGGCGCCATGTCGCATCAGAGGTCGCGGAGCAGGCAGGCATCGTGGGAAACGCATGAAGGCAGGCGACCAGTGGGAGAGTTGTGTTAAGTCGCGACAGGAACGTGAAGCCGACGGCTGCAGCAGAGCTGCGTACAGTAGATCCTTGGGCAGGAGCGCTGAAATTTTGAGAACCAATGCGTACATGAGCACATGAGCAGCCAAGGCGCGTGAAAGACAGCCTGGCCAGACATTGATGCGGGTCCGAGAAAAACGAGGTTTCCGGCTCCTGTATGAGTCGGCCTCGTACATGCCACCAACACTACGCAGAGTATTATAACGGGTGATGAAAATGTAAACATCAGACGACGGCAATGCACAGGGATCGCACAAGGAGATGCTTGACGCGAGCTGGATGGCTGAAGATGCTATGCTTGTGTGCGAGATCGAGACTGCCAATGTCCATCGATGTAGGAAAGAAGGACCTCATGGAATACTCATTGATTGTGGTGCATCGCGTATGACGGGGCCGGCGTCCTGAACGAGTCTGCATAGCGAGAAAGGCGGCATGATGGTGGTTCGATCCCAAGCCCCGCGCGCTTCCCAGACGCGCGGCACTCACCTTGTCCTCTACCCCCATGTGGCAGCTGGGGCAACTATGCCGATGAACTCTATCGATACGTTCGCGGAGACTGGCTACGCGTGGTCTACATTTGCTACTCGTCTGAAGAGCGGCTGCAACGATTGATAACCTCCGAAGGCTCTATAGGGTGTACCACTACGCCTTGTATACGATCAAAGTGTGTGGTGCCGATGCGCTCCAACAGGCGCAGGAGATCTTCGCGTCGGTTTACCTTGTGCGTTCGCATGATGTCGTTCCGCGCACTGATTCAGGTCGCGTCTAGAGAGAAACTACCCAGGTCATAGCCGTGGCCTCCCATCGAGTACATTGGTTTCTCGAAGTCTTCTCGGAGCCAAGTTCATCATCACTATATTGAGGTGAGTGGACAAACCCGTTCTGTGCGTCTCTCCGCGCTGATTTAGCGCCCCAGTACACTATCTTGTGCTATCTGCCCGCATGGTACTGAACGACTTGGGTGGCGAATGCTGCCTTTCGAACACTAGGTCTTCGCCACGGTACCGCGTTAGAAGGACCGCCTTCCTCCCTCCACCCCATCCGTCTTCACGGCGCTTCCTGCGCCAATCACACTGCTGTGCCAATCAGAACCCTGATGCCTTCGGAAGCGTTCTTACCGTCCGCCGTTCTACTACTCGTACTACCAGTCGCACAGAACAATGTTAACCTTCATGGATATTCATAGCCTCCAGGGCTCCGGACGGGAATCACACGAGCAGGCTTGCAGCCTTTGCGCACAAATGCATGGAACTCGAGACGATTGTGTCCGGTGGCGACGTTGTGCCAGACGTAGAGAGCGGAAACAGCTCTAGCGAGCGCTGTGGTAGCTCAAGTTGCGGCAACATCGCAGACTGTTGATGCCAGTCTAGTACCCATTCTGTTGCAGCATTCATACAGAAGCTATAAAAATGCAACGTCCAAGAGGCTTGTCTTCGTCGCGCCCTACAAGTATACGTACGCGCTGCATAGTGAGAAGTCTGCGCCGATAGCCGTTTTACGAGACCGGCCAAGACAAGCTACGATGCACTGTTGACGCCCGCGACTCCACATAAACGTCGTCTATACCTAGTACTAGTCTAGGGGATACGAGACATCTGCAAAATA